GCTGGGTGCCACGACACTGGGAGGCCAGTGTTGATGAGTCAGTCAGAGGTGCTGTTCCTGCAAGGTGATGTTAGCGGCTCTCTTTCCGAAGGGCTCTGCCCGCTTTGCTGCCGTCAGTACCCCTTGATAGTTACTGCTGAAATAAGAGTGTTTGCCCCAGTGTCCTGGAAATACTTAGCTTGCATAACTGCATTTTCCTGGCCCTGCAGCCTCTTCACTTTGTGTCCTGACTGGGCAGCGCTGCTGAAGAACTGGTGCGCTCCACTCCAAAAGCGAGCGCATTTTGGCACCGGGTGGAGCGATTCCCGGATACAGTTCCTGTGGGGTCCTCCGTGGGGGAAGCTGCCCTGTCAGTGGAAGGCCCTGTCTTGCTGTTTGTACACAGTGATCCCCAGGCACTTTCTGGAGAGACTGGGGAGACCAGGGAGACCAGCTCCTGAGCTTTGTGCCTTGTAGTTTGTGCCAAAGAAAGATATGAACTGCCTCGGGTCTCGAGGCTGCATGAATTAGAGATGTAGTTAATGCTGAGCAGGAAGCATCGGGTTGGATATTCAAGCAGTGGAGCTCTTTTGATGCCCATGGGACTTCTCTCATTGACGCCCTCCAGGGATTTGGCCCAGAGATTTTCATGTTAGGAGCAACCTGAAGGAGAGACTGTTTTGGCAGTGACCAGGCAGGGCTGGGCTGGCCGGGAGACCCCGCAAGACCAACCCAGAGATGGCAGGGGAGGATGCTAGTGGTCCAAGGTGCTGACCTCCTCTCACATCTGCATCCAGGCCTGGGCATGAGTTGACGTGATGCCTTTCAAATCAGCGCTCCTTATTCATGGTGCTGCGTGTCAGTCAGATCGCTGGCTCTGTGACAGGCCGGCTGCCCCCCCGGGTGGCATGCAGACTCTGAACGCCAGAGCTATCAGGAGGGAGGTCTTTCTCTCCCCACGCTGCCATGCAGGGCTTCTGGGGCTGCAATGCCTCTCTAAGCCTTGGTTAGTGTAATTCCCCTGTCTAAATCCCCAGAAGAGCTTTCGTGTCCTTGGGATTAACACACCTGGAACGAAGCTGATAATCACAACAGCGAATGCCAAGGCCGTCGCAGCATATAGCACTAATAGGAGGATCACACGTGTGCCCAAAATGATGCTTGTGGGCAGAAGTTGGCAGGATCAGGCCAATGTCTATGAACTGCCTTATGAAGTCTGGAAATGCAGCCACCTCTAGGGCGGCCTGTAGCAGCCATTTCTGATGGCACTTAGGAACACAATGTTCACCAGAGGCATTTTTCTAGCTCATTAATCCTCCCTGAGCCGTGCCGTGAGAGAGGGAGCAGCCGTTAGAGTCAGTAAACTCAAAAGCAGCTGAGCAAGGAATGTAACCAGATTATGGTGGCTCACCAAGGTGAGGCTGTCCCGGCCGGCCAGGATTGATCTAGTGTAAACAGGCATTAATCTAGAATAACTCTGCTCGCTGCAGTGGGCTCGGTCTGGATTCACACCAGTCCAGCTGAGGGCCGAATCAGACCCTAACCCCATGGAACTGGCCCAGTGGAGTCACTCTGGATTTCCTCCACCCAGTTTGGGCTTAAAAATAAACCCAAACGGCGTCCAGTCTGACTGGCTTCCAGCCTGTCTTTTCTTGCTTCCCTTCCCCGCTCCCAGCAGGGCTCCTGGCAAGATAAGGATCCTTTCCTGGCAGCAGTGGGAGTCGGAGCGGCACCCGCATTGACAGCTCTGCCTAAAAGGGAAATGAGTCAGGGATGATCAAGGAGCACCCCCACCCCCCTGGCCCTTCTCCACCCCAAATCTGAGATGAGATGACAGGACCGTGGCCTCCACACTTTGCTTTGCACAGAGCCCTTCAGCTCTCCTTCGCCGCACACGGACCCTACAGCCCTCCCTCCTGGCAGTGCCCTGGGGCTGCAATGCTGACACCTCACACAGTCACTGTATCAGGGTGGAGGGACATGTGGGGTTACCTGCTCTGCATCCGCTTGACCCTAAGTGTCCAACCTCCAGATGTGCCCCACAGTAACGAAGCATCTGCACAATGCTCTGTAGCAAGGGTGGAGATGCGGGGAAAGGGGCATTTGAGGCAGCTCATCGCAGGGCAGAGAGCTGTGTGTTTGCTTGCCATCTTGGCCATTGCCCCAGGCATTAGATAGCAAGCCTATGGAGACAAGATACATGCATGAGCCTCTATAGCCTGAGTGAAAAAGCCAGGCTCTGGAATGGGGGCCGTAGCAAGCTGCCTAGCCCAGGGATTTCTAGCAGGGTTCCTGTGAGCCTACTAGCCAGGGCCCTACGGGCTCACGGCTTGTGTGTCCCTGCTCTGAGCACCCCCAGCTCCACTGACTTCAGCCGGTGTCACCACCACCTGCTCTCTATCACGACAGAGCACAATGACCAGGCTGCCGGTGACTCCAGCAAGCCCCTGGTTAGTCCTTCACCCTGCCACGAGCAGTCTCAGCGCTTTCGCTGGGTTCACAGAACAAAACTCCCTGCCCACATCGGTCAGAGAAGGCAGCTGGCAATGGCCACGGTTGGCTACCAGTGTCACCATCAGGGCTCAGAGGCCACCTCAAGCAGGGCACCACCAGTCCCGAATTATACGACTGGGAGTGGGAGCAGGTGTTATGGAGCCTTCCCATTCCCAGATGGGGAGATGATGATTACTGCTGCCTGTGTGAATCAGCCAGTGCCTGAGGCTGAGTCCCCTGTATAGGGTTACCAGGCCCCAGACAGGGCATCAGACAGTCAACAAGGGACGAAGCTCTCCTACCAAACAGACCCGCATCGCATTGCTCTGGATGGGGTGAGCAGGATTGTGCCAAAGCCAGAAGTTAAAACCGGCTGCTTGACTCCATGCATTTCCCAAAGGGCTCGGAGTGCCTGGGCCCCACCTGCCTTTCCACCGCGTTGGGGGATTTGCAGCCGTGGTGCTTTCCACCCCGCGCAGCTCCAGGCTTTCATTCCTCTTAGTTTCCCCAGACCCCAGGGGTCAGACACCACATCAAGCTCAGGAAACTTTGCTCACAAACCTTCAGAGTTTCTCCAGGTTTGTAAAGTTTCCTTGCCTGCTAGTGAATGTCATCCCTTATTCCAGTCACTCCCCTAGTAAAATGAACTGAGGATCAGTTTGTAGCTGAGTCAGTGGGTGTAATTTTCCTTTTTTTTTCCTTCATTAATGACTCCTTGGCTCCAGACTGAAGAAGCAGATACTAGATGCTTTTCACACTCTTGTCTATAGGAATTTTATTAGCCGAGCCCTCCCTTCTCGTTGCAGCATGTACTTTGCATTCACCTTCCATATTAAAATGGCCTCTCCTTTGTAACACAACTGACCATGTGCAAGGCATGACCTATTTGAATCTGTACAAGGCATGGCCTGTTTCAATTTGTGCTTATTTATATTCCAGCTGACAGCTGGGCTCCATCATGCTGAGTGCCATAGACACAGAAGTCCCTTCTCCAAGGACTTTGCAGTCTATACAGACAGGATGGACAAGGGCTGGGGAAAGAGCAGGATTGTGGTTGCCGTTTCAGTGTGGGGAAACAGAGGCACAGCAAGATGAAGTGTCTTGACCAAGGTCATGCAGGGAGTCTGTGTCGGAGCTGGGTGTTGAGCTTAGATCTCCCGAGTCCCAGCCCGGTGTCCTCCACCAACACTTCGTATGTGTGCTGCAGACAAGGAGGACAGAGGGAGGATGCTGTTTTAGTCAATGAGGACCTGGGGTGGTTGTTGACCCATGCCCCCTGCTCCATTTGCTCCAGCTGGCAAAGCATTTGAGCCTTTGCTTCAATCTAAGCATGTGAAGTCCATTTGCCAACAGTGGGACTGTTCACATGCTTGAACAGCATGTACACAAGTATCTTGCTCCAGCCGGGCTTCATGGTGGACAGTCACAAAAGAAGAATATGACTTTGTGCCCTGGGTTGGCACATTTTCATGTTTGCGGCACAGTTGGGAGGCAGGCAAGGTCCTGCTGGGGTTAGTGAGCTGGCTGCTGTTTGGGGGTACAATGGCAGGCAGGGGTGTGTGTGTGAACATGGGGTGTTTGGCCCTGATGCTCCCAGGCAGATGAGGGGCACAGCTGGCACAGCCATGTAGCACTAGGACCTGGTGGAATATTTGCCCAGCCTCCTCCAAAAGGATTAGCCAACATCACAGGGCACGGGCATGCTCTAGAGGCTTGTGCTTTTCCTTTACTCTGCTCTATACAAGTTTTTTCCCCTGTTTCCTCTGGTCCAGCACAGAGGAAAAAGTAACTCAGCCTCAGCATTTCTCTTCCTTTCCTCCTTTCCAGCTGCACCGTGCCAGGGTCTTCCAGGGCCAAAGTTGGCACTACAGGGATCTCTTCTTTAAATCGCTCCAGCTGTAGGCGGACTGCCTGCAGTCCAATCCGCGCTCCAGAGGCAAGTTTAACTTGGGAGCACAGCAGCAGAAGGGGTGTTGCTTGTGCTGCTCCTCCAGCCACTGCTGTCAGGAAGAAATTATGACTTGGAAAGGGGGGGGGGGGGAAGAAAGAGGGAAATTGCTTCCAGCAGCCAGAGTCTGAAATAGCGCTGTAAAAAATATATAGGGGGTCTGAGCTCAAGGCAGGAGCTGCATGCGTAGACACAAGGATCTGGAAGCTGGTGGATCCTTCTACGTACTATGACTGATATCAAGCCTTTCATCTACCTTCACAGCTCCCAGCTTTTGGATTTAAGGTAGTTTGCCCCCCCCCCATCAAGCCAGAGTTTTGCTATGTTTGCCAGGACTGCACTTTCTTTTGCTCTGTGGCTGCAGGTCGCTCGGGGACAGAGTATACCTGAGAAAGGTGAGTGCTTGACAAGCTCAGAAACAGCCTTCAGGCTGGACTGTATTTTACTGCTTGATATGCTTTAGCCCTGCTCCTCTGGCTTTTCAAAGGAGGATTCATGCAACGGTGGTGCTAAGCAGGGCAGGGATGGGCAAGGGTCGGGGGGTGATTATTAACTTCCTGAAACTGCCACAGCACGGAGAAAACTTGGTTGATTTTTAAGCAAAGAAAATGATATTGCTCTGGGGACTGGTTGAGCTGGGTACGCTGCTAAGGAAAGAGATTCCTGGCTGCTTCTTGAAGAAAGGCTTCAGGATGTGAAAAAAGAAAGTGAAAAGTGGTTTCTGATACCACACACCTGCTGTGGAGTGCTCCCTGCTGAGGTTTAAAGGGGGGGGGGGGGAACAACCGGGTTTTCACCCTCCCCA